GCGCCGCCCGCCGGAGACGCCGCGGCGTCGGCGCTGCTCTCCGTGCCGCCGGCGCCGGCGCCGCGGCCCGCGAAGCCCATCCCGCCCGTGCGCCAGTCGTACGCGCGGCCGCCGCCCGGCGGCGGCCTCGGCGGCCCGCCGCGGGGCTTTCCGCAGCAGGCCTTCGGCCAGCGGCCCCAGTTCTACGGCTACCCGGGCGGCCACTTCTACCCGCCGCCGGCGGCTTTGGGCTACTACGGCCCGGGCGCGTACCCGCCGGCCTACGGCGCCGCCGCGCCGCGGCCCGGGCCGCCGCGCGGGCCCGTCGCGTCGGCCGAGCTCCTGCCCGAGTCGAAGCGGCTCGGCGCGACGGAGCTGCTGCTCGCGGCCGCGCCCGCGGCCGCGGCGGCGCCCGCGCGCGCCGAGCCGCCGGGCCTCGCGGCCGCGCTCGCCTTCGCGTCCGCGGCGCCGCCGCGGCCGCCGCCGGCGCCGCCGCCGCCGCGGCCGCCGCCGCCGAGGCCCGCGCCGCCGCCCGCCGCGCCGCCCGCCGCGCCGCCCGCCGCGCCGCCCGTCGCGCCGCCGCCGCCGCCGCCCGCCGTCGTCGCGCCGCCGCCGCCGAAGAAAAAACCCGCGCCGCGGCGGAAGAAGGTCGCGAGCTACCGCTTCTGCTACGTGCAGCCCCCCGAGCGCGACATCCTTGCGGCGCAGCGCGCGGCGGCCATGCGCGAGGCCGAGGTGCGGCCGAACCCGAGCGGCGCCGCGCGGCTCGAGCCGCGCGACGGCATCGACGACACGACGAACCGGAACCGCGTGACGCGCGCGCTCGCGCGCGCGGCCGCGGACCTCGCGGCGCGCCGCGAGGCCGCGGCGGCCGCCGCGGCGTCCAAGGCCCGGGGGCCGGACCCGAAGAAGGCGCGCCAGGCGCTCTACGTGGACGCGCCCGCGGGGTCGCTCGAGGTCACGCGCGACAAGTACCGGCGCATGAAGGCCGTGCCGCTCGCGGCGCGCCTCGCCGTGCGGAGGTCCCACATCCACGGCTGGGGCCTCTACTGCAAGACGGACGTGCCCAAGGACGCCTTCATCATCGAGTACGTCGGCCAGGTCGTGCGCCAGGCCGTCGGCGACAAGCGCGAGAAGTACTACGACGACGCGGGCGTCGGCTCGTGCTACCTCTTCCGCCTCGACGAGGACGCCATCGTCGACGCGACGCGCCGGGGCAACATCGGCCGCTTCATCAACCACTGCTGCCGGCCCAACGCCTACGCGAAGATCGTCGCCCTCGATTCGAACACGAAGAAGATCGTCATCATCGCGCTCCAGGACCTCAAGGCCGGCGACGAGGTCATGTACGACTACAAGTTCCCCATCGAGGACGACAAGGTCAAGTGCTACTGCGGCGCGCCCAACTGCCGCGGCACGATGAACTAAGATCGACCCCCGGGGAGGCCGAGCGCCTCAGGTAGCGCTTCGTCGACTTCTTCGTACGCGTCGAGGAAGTCGTCGAGGAGCGGCGCGTGGTGAAGTCATCGTTGAAGCGAGGATTGTAATTAGGAAGGCTGGACACTGCGAGGAACGCTGCCCTCGTCCTCCTCGCCTGACGCCACGCGCGACGACGGACGACGACGAGACGCTGGCAGCGTCATGCCGGCCCGCCATAGAAACACCGTGGCCCAAAGGCGCAGAGCCAGGGAAAGAGCCAGGGAAAACGGCGCCCCAAAACTGTCCATGAACGACGCCGCGCGCGTCGTACAAAAGGCGCACCGCGCGAACTCGGGCAGAATCGCGCCGGCGCCGATCGAGGCGCACGTGGTCGAGGCGCGCGTGGTCGAGGCGCGCGTGGTCGCCGTCGCCCCGGGGGGCCGGAGCCGACGCTGACGGAGCAGTGCGCGTTCCTCAAGGAGCAGCTCGGTCTCGAGGGCTCGATCCCCGTGGTCATCGCTGGTGCCTGCCGCGCGCTGGGCGTCGACGAGGCGGGCACGCTCGTGGAGCGGGCGAGGCGCTGCCGCGCGGCCGTCGGCGGCGGGTCGCCCGCGGCGGGCGCGGCGCCGAGCGCGCCGCCGAGCCACCGCGGCGGCGGCGCGCCGATCCATTGCGAAGTCCTCCGGGACGACAGCGCGCGGAAGCTCCAGGGGCTCCAGCGACAGCGGATCGCCAGGGCCAAGGCCCAGGAGGCGCGCGTCCTCAAGGTCCAGCGCGCCGCGCGCGCGCAGATCCAAGATCGAAAGGTCGTCGTCGCGCCGCCCTGCGACAAGAAACTGTTCGTCTTGGAACCGGAACACAGGACCTACGAGGAGCACGAGCGACGCGCGAAAGCCCGCGGCATGGTGCTGGCGACGATCGCGTCCCCCGAGGAGAACCTGGACGCGAGATTCCCGCTCGACAAACAGACGGCGTTCATCGGAGCGATTCGACACGGCACCGGCACCGGCCCGGGCGCGAAGCACTGGCGCTGGGCGGACGGAGCCGCGTGGGGCTACGCGAACTGGGCGCGCGGCGAAGTCTTTCTCGGAACGAACCGCGCGCGCATCGCCGGCGACGGGAGCTGGCACGGCGTGAAGGCCGACGGGAGCTACCCGAGGAAGCTACCGGCCCTCTACCACACCGGGACGGCGGTCCCAGCGTGGATGGGCGAGCGCGACGCGCGGCACCAGGCCGCCGCGGCCACAAAAGGCGGCGCGCGGCACCAGGCCGCCGCGGCCACAAAAGGCGGGTGTTGCGCTGTGGCGTAGGGTGTGTGTTATTGCGGCTCACGTTCGAGGTCTCGGCGCGAGAGGACGCTGCCACTCTCGAGGCCCCATGTGCGAGGCCTCAACCTTGTAAGTGTTGAAGGCACCCAAAGCTTCATTCGGCAACTTGAGCCCGTCGCTCCCTGGCGTCCGGGCTGGTGTCCGATTCGGGGCTGGCCACCATGGACCTCTGCTGCGGGCGGGACCTCTTCACGGAGCGCGCGACCCTGGAGACGGCCCTCCTGACGAAGGAGAAGCTGAAGCGCTACGAGGAGCTCCGGGGCGACTGGTTCCGCTTCTCCCTCGTCTTCGGCGTGGTCCACGGCTGCACGGTGACGCAGCTCTCCTACGCGTCGACGCTCCAGGGCGCGCGCCTCGCGAACATCTCGCTGGCGACGCTCTACTTCTGCTACACGGTGTCGGCCCTCTGCCTCGCCGACGACTTCGTGCGCAAGGAGGGCCCGCTCCGGTCCGTGCTCGCCGGGCTGGCGAGCTACCTCGCGCTGGGCCTCAGCTACGCGCTCTACGCGGCGGCCCCGGGCTGGTTCACGTCGGCCTTCGTCGTCGCCTGCGCCGTCGTCGCCGGCGCCGGCGGCGGCCTCATCTGGGTCGCCCAGTCGACGCACTTTGCGCGGACGGCCTACGACGCGGGAGGACCCGCGCCCATCGCGTTCGCGTCGTCCTTCGCGTTCTGGTACATCACGCTCGAGGGCGTCATCAAGCTGACCATCGCCTGCATTCTCGTTGCCTACGCCAACCTGTGGGTGGCGATTTCCGTGATCTTCCTGCTGTCTTTCTCGGCGTACGCGGTGCTCTACCTGTTCCCGGAGCGCTGCGGCTTCGAGGTCGACGCGGCGGCGCCGCCGCGGCGGCTGCGCGACTTCGCGCACACCTGCGCGGCCGTGGACTTTGAGGCGCTGACGGCCGTCGCGCGCGCGCACGCGGCGGACCGGCGCATCCCGCTCCTCTCGCCGCAGTGGCTCGCGTTCGGCTTCTCGTCGTCCGTCTTCACGTCCTGGTTCTGCGGCAAGGTCTCGGAGAAGCGCGACGAGGCCGTCGTCGGCTTCGCGTCGGCGACGCTGTCCTTCGTCGCCGGCGCGGCGTCGCCGCTCCTCGGCCGCCTCGCGTCGTCCGTCGGCCGCGGCGCGCCCGTCGCCGTCGCCGTCGCGGGCTACGGCGCGCTCTGCGGCCTCATGCTCGGCTGCGGGTCCATCGACGGCATCACGTCCTGGGGCACGGTCTGGGTCTACGCGGGGCTCCAGGGCGTCGCGCGGTCCGCGTTCGAGGGCACGGCGAAGATGATCGTCGTCGAGCAGTTCAAGGGCAACGCGACGCAGCTGACGAACCGCGCCATGGCCTCCGTCTACTTCCACATGGGCGTGTCGTCCATGGTCACGTTCCTCTGCTTGGAGGTCGCGCAGTTCGGCGGGCTCGCGCTGACGTTCGGCGGCTTCGCGGTGCTGCTCGGCGCGGGCTACGTCGCCGCGGAGGACCACACGGCGCGCCTCGAGGGACAGCCGGAGCCGCCGCCCCCGGCGCCCCAGCAGCAGGGCCTCGCCTGACATGAGGTCGAGCGCGCGCCGCTGCTGCGCGAGTGAGGGGGGCGTCTTCTTACCGCGGCCGCGCTCGGCACAGGCACAGACACAGTTAGGGGCGGGGGTCTCACAGCCCCTTCTCGGCACAGGCACAGACACAGTTAGGGGCGGGGGTCTCACAGCCCCTTCTCGACGAAGCCGAGGTGCGCGAGCGCGTGGCCGCAGACGCCCGCGGGGTACTGGCCTAGCTCGTAGCCGTCGAAGGGCACGGGCTCCGGCAGCCGCGCGTTGACCGCCGCCGCGAGCTTGGGCTGGTCGATGAGGGGCCCGTCGCTGTACTCGGCGTTGGCGATGCCGTCCATGAGCGCCTCCCAGCGGCCGTCGGGCGCGTCGTAGCCCTCGTTCCGCGCGCGCTGGCACTTGAGCGCCAGCGCGAGCACGAGGTCGGACATGTCGACGGTGCCGGCCTTGGCCCAGGCGAGGAAGGACGTCCGCCGGTGCCGCTTCGCGAAGTGCGCCCGGAGCGCCGCCGCCGCCTCGTGGGCGAGGCCGTCGGCCGAGCCCCACTTCCACTCCTCGTCGCCCCAGCTCTTCGGCGGCGGCTGATCCTCGAGGGCGAAGGGCGGCGGCGGCGGCGCGGGCTCCGCGGCGACGGCGACGCGGCGCGGCGCGAGTCGATGATGCCTTTGGGGTTTAAGAGACGCCGCGACGGCCGCGACGGCGAGCGCGCGGAGCATGCTGGCGGCGCACAGGGCACTGCTTTCTCTGGCAGCGCGCCGCGGGGACCGGCGCTGTATCTGCGGCGAGGGCGCGCGAGCGAAGCGGCTTGAGCGGGTTTGGGGCGGTACGCAGCCGCCGAAGAAGATGACAGCGCTGCTTGGAACTGTCGTGGGCGGCGACGCGCGTGCACGAGACGCGCAAGCGGTTGCGCGCGCGCGGCAGGCGAGGCCGATCCGAGGCCCTACTCGAGCCGAGCGAGAGACTGCGAGAGGCGCCTCGGCAAGTCGGCAGCATCGTCGGCCTCGGCCTGGGCGCACCGCAATTCGCGCCCAGCATGGCGCGCCCTGCGCTGTTCGCGTTCGCTTTGTTGGCGCTCTGCGGCTCGGGCTCGTCGGTCTCGTCGAAGTCGTCCGCGGGCGGCGCCTCCGGCGGCGGCGGCGCGGCCGGCGGCGGCCGCGGCGGCGGCGCGCCGGGCGGGGCCACTCCCGCGGGGAGCCGGCGGCCCTGTGGCCGGTCCATCCAGCAGTACTGCAGTGGTCTCGGGGGCCTGGAGTCGATTCGGCAGTGTCTCGGCTCCCTCGTCGGCAGGGCCGTGCTCGAGCCCTCCTGCGAGGGGCTCGTCGCGGCCCGGCACGCCACGCTCGAGGCCTGCCGGCCCCAGGCCGCCGCGCTCTGCTCGAACGGCGACGAGGACGCGGCGCGCGCGCCGCCGCTGAGCTGCCTCCGGAAGAACAGGAACCACGCGCGCGTCGTCGACACGCCGTGCGGGTCCGGCCTCGCGCGCCTCGCGGAGCTCCGCCGCGCGGGGCGCCGCCAGCCGGGGTCCCGCGCGGCGAAGCGCGCCGCGACCCTCGAGCAGCGCGAGGCCGACGACCGGCGCGCGCGGATCCGCGCGATCTTGGACGCTATGCCGAAAGCGGAGAACGGCGGCATCGCCGACGAGCACGCGCGCCTCGTGGCCGCGGCCCACATGGCCGACAAGGAGGCCCGGGACACGCAGGCCTACCTCGAGCGCTACCCGGCGGGCCACGCGCAGCTGCCCGAGGGCACGCACGTCAAGGCGACGAAAGTCGGTGGCGCGCGGAACCCGTCCTCGGCCGGGCCCCGGAGCCCGGCCCGGCGCCGGCGCCCCGCGCCCGTCGGCGGCGCGCCGGAGGCCGTCGCGCCGCCGCCGCTCGCGGAGGCCGCGCCGCCGCCGCTCGCGGCCCCGCCGGAGACGCGGCGACGGCGGCCGCGGAAGCGGAAGGACGCGCTCGCCATGGTCGGCATCTAGTCGTAAAAACCCACTGTACATTTGGGACATGTAAGCCGGCGGTGAGATGCGAGCTCAAGAGGACCGCCAGCATCCCGCCGTCCGGGCGGCGCCGCCGCTCGTCCCTAGCGTACCCCGCCGAACGGCGCTTCGACCGGCGTCGTCCGCCCGTCACTTCCCGCAGAAACAGTCGACCTGGTCCTCTTCGATGTCGATGGACGCGACCTCGATGTCCGCCTCGATCTCCATGCCGACGCCCCAGCACGTGAGGTCGACGGCGACCCCGATGGTCGCGCCGTGGATGCGGCGCGTGGGGAGCGCCTTCCGCGCCGCGACGAGGATGCTGGCGAGACGCTTCAGGGCCTTGGGCACCTTGCTCTTCTCCTCCGCGTCCTCGTCGCCGGACCCCCACCCGTCAAAGGTCGAGCCGACGAGGTTCGCCCAATGCATCTCGATGGCCACGTTGCCGCCGACGGGGAGCGACACGATGATCTTCACGGCGAACAGGCCGACGCATACCGTCAGGCTGCCGCACCAGCCTTTGGCCGTGAGGAACGACTGCGTGTGCCGCGAGACGTCCCCCGCCCACTTCGAGGCTTGCGCGTGCGACATCCGGACGTTCTCCCTGGCCACCGCCATGGCGTCGGAGAGAGAGGACCGACGCGCGGGCTTGTCCTCGATTGCCTCCGGCGGCTGGCTCGGACTGGTGAGCCACGACTCGGCCGGGGCAGGCGGCGGATTAGGGTCCACCACATCCTGCTTGGAGCAGGCGCAGAGCAGCGGCCTCCTCTTTTTCGGCGCGTCGCTCTCTTTCTCTGCCGAAGACCACATGATGATACGCGCGGGGGCAGCCCGTTAGGTCCTCGCAGCGTCGCACATCTCCGTGGCCAGAGGTCGCGAATGAAAGAGTGTGACAACCGAGATTGCAAGCGGTCGCGCCTTGTTGAAGTCCATGTTGAAGCTCGTTCAAGCCCAAGCAAGCGCCATGTACCATATCCCGCCGGCGGGGTATGGCAGGGAACAGTGGTTAACTTCCGGGGGGGCGCTCGCTCCCGCAGGTCCCGCAGCAGAGGAACTCGGGCGCCGCGTTGACGAAGGTGCACGCGGCGCACGTCCAGGGCGTCGCCTCGAAGTGGCGGATCAGGCTCAGGTCGACGGCGTCCTCGAGCGCGGCGGCCGCGAGCGCGGCCGCGGCCTCCATGCGCGCCTTCGTCACGGCCCGCCGCAGCCGCGGCGGCGACCCCGGCGGCAGCGGCGGCCGCGCCGCGCGCGCCGCGGCGGCGTCGCGCGCGCGCGCCGCGGCCGCGTCGTCGCGCGCGCGGCGGTCGCGCGCGCGGCACGCCCGCGCGATCTCGTCCTCGTTGGCCATGGCGACGGCCTCGCGGCGCCGCGCGTCCATGGCCTCGAGCTTCGCGCGCGCGACGCGCTTCAGACGCTCGAGCTCCGCCTTGGCCGCGTCGCGGCCCGCGCGCTTCGCGGCGGCCTCCCGCCCCCGCTCCCGCTCGACGAAGGCCGCCGCGGCGGCGCGCGCCGCCTCGTCGCGCGCGCGCTCCTCTTCGAGGCGCGCCTCCTCCTTGAGCCGCAGCCGCTCCGCGACGGCCCGCGTCTCCGCGCGCCGCGCTTCCAGCGCCGCGAGCTTGCGCTCCGCCTCCTCGCGCCGCATGGTCTCCTTGAAGTCGGCCTCGGCCTTCCTGCGCAGGTCCTTCTCCGACCGGGCCGCGTCCCGCGTCTCGCGCGCCTTCGCCGCGGCGCCGCGGAAGCGCCGGTCGCGCGCCTCCGCTTCGTCCGCCTCCGCGCGCTCGTGGGCCTCGCGCGCGGCCCGCTCGGCCTCCTCGGCCTCCCGCGCCTCCCGCGCGGCCTCGCGCATGGCCGCCTCGCGGAGCCGTCGCTGCTCCTCGGCGTGCCGCCGGTCGTCGAGCGCCTGCCGGGCCTTGCGGAGCCGCGCGGCCTCGAAGGCGCTCCGCCGGACGGCCGCGGCCCGCGCGTCCTGCTCCGCGGCGTCGGCGGCCGCGTCCCGCGGCTTCTCCCGCCGGGGCAGCGGGTCGAGGGGCCGCCGCTTCTTGTGGACGCCGTGCGCCTCGGCCTCTCGGTCGGAGGCCGCGCGCCGGAAGTGCGCGCGCAGGGCGTCGCCGCTGCGCTGGGCCTTGGGCGCCGCGGAGAAGAAGGTCGGCGCCGCCGCGGGCGGCTTCGACGCGGCCGCGTGTGCGCGCGCCGACCCAGCGGCGGGCTTCCGCCGCCGCTCCGAAAAGTCGCAGCGCTCCGCGGCGCGCCGCGCGGCCTCGGCGGCGCGGCCCGCCTCGGCGGAGCCGGCCTCGGACGTGAGGTAGGCGTAGGCGGAGCTGATGGCCTGGAACCGCTTCGTCGCCCCGTCGACGTCGTCGGGGTTCCGGTCCGGGTGGTGCTCGAGGCTCAGGCGGCGGAACGACTTCCGGACGTCGCCGTCGGAGGACAGGGGGCTCAGGCCCAGCACGGACTGGGACCGCTCGAGGAGGCCCATGCGAGGCTGCCTTCAGCGCCGGGGGACGCCCATGCGGAGGCGCTGCCCAGGGCAACCTGAACCTGAACGGCCTCGTTGCTGCGGGAGGCGCCTCGAGCTTTTGGCGCGACCGCGATCGAGTGCAGGTGCTGTGCGACTCGCACGACCCCCCAAAGTCCGCGTCGCTTTAGCGCGCAGACACAGAGCCCATGGACAGCAACTACGAGATCCTCGAATCGCTCATCGCGTGGATCGCCGGCGACGAGAGCGGCGGCGGCGACGTCGAGCGCTACCTCGCGAGCCCGCGCGTCGCGGCCCTCGCGCGCGTGCTCGACGTCGCCGGGCCGGCCCCGGCGAAGCGCCAGGCCCTCGCGGGGAACCAGCCGCTCCAGCTGCGGGGCCGGCCGCAGGCGCTCCAGCCGCGGACCGCGCGTTTGGTCGCGGCCTTATCCGACGAGCTCCGCCTCGACGAGGAGGCGTGCCTCGAGCTCTTCGCCAAGGTCACGGACCGCGCGCGGCGCCGCGAGCTCGCGGAGCGCCTGGGCCTGGCCCGGGGCGGCGCGCTCGACGACGACGTCGCGGGCGCCGCGCGGCGGCTCTGGTACTTCGAAGCTCGCTGCGGTCTGCGGGCTCTGGGCGAGCTCGTCAAGGGCGCGCTCGACGGCCGCCTCCCCCGCGCGAAGAAGCGCATACTCGGGGACGCCGCCGTCGCGTGCCTCCGCGCGGACGTGCCCGCGACGCTCCTCGCCGGCGTCAAGGCGCTGAGCGGCTCCGCGTGGGCGCAGCCGGCCGAGCGCGCGGCCGTCGCGGGCGCGCTCGCCGCGTCCGTCGCCGAGACCTGCTTCTTCGCTTTTTATGAAGTACAAATCCTCGACACGGAGGCCGCGCGGCTCTTCGAGGCCGCGCGCGACCTGTCCGCGGCCTTGGACGACGCGGGCCGGAAGGCCGGGACCCCTTCCTTACATCCGCACGCGGCCAAGCTCCGCCGCTGCCGCGACGTGCTCCTCCTGGCGGCGGTCCAGGCCTTGGACGGGTCCGCGCGCTTCCGGGACCGCGGCGCCGCGGCGCCCTCGAGCTCTACGGCGCTCTTCCTCTACGGCGACGCGGCCGACGGCGAAGAACCCACAGAACCGAACGCGCTCCGCGCGGACGCGGGCGCCGCGCAGCGCTTCGTCGACGCCTGGCCCGCGCCGGAGGGGCTCGAGGGCCGCGGCGCGCGGGGCGTCGCGGCGCTGGCCGTCGCGCTGCTCAAGCGGCCGCGGTCGTGGGACGCCGCGGACCCGGCGTCGGAGCAGGAGCTCAGAAGGCGGCTCGGCGACGCGCTCGACGCGGGCGTCTGCCGGTTCCTCGTGCGGACCCACGGGCTGTTAAGAGGCGCGTTGCGGGACGGCGGCGGCGGCCGCGAGCCCGTGGTCTACCTGGTGGCGTTGGGCGAATTGGCGAACGCGTTCGTCGAGGCCCTGCTCGACGTCGACGCCTTACCGGGCCCGCGCGGCGACGTCGAGGGCGTCCCGGACGGGCTCGAGGACGTGCTGGCGTTGGTCGTGGGCGTCGGCGAGCGCCTGCCCGCGTTCACGGAGAAGTTCTTCGGGTCTGTGAATGGTGATGTCACAGCGCTGGGCCACCTCGTCCGGCGCGTCGGCGACTGCGCGCGCCGCGACGACCTGGGCCGCGTGCCCTACCTCACGCTCCTCGGCGCCGTCGCGCGGGGCTCGCATGAGACCGCCGACGCCGTCCGCGACTTTTTACGGGCGGGCGACCAGCCGGAAAACGAGTTCGCGGCCGTCGCGCCGAGCGGCGTCTTCGACGGGTCCGCGCCGCCGCCGGGCTACTCGCTCAAGAACTTCCTGGCGTTGGTGGACCGCTACGGCGAGATGCTGCGGGCCAACGAGCTCGAGCGGTCCGGGGCGACGCCGCCGCCGCCGGGCGCGATGCAGAATTTGTATCGTCCGTTCGACGCGCCGCGCGAGCCGCTCTGGTTGTCCGCGGCGGACGCGGACGCGCTCGTCGCCGTCGCCGACGTGCTCGCCAACTGCGCGCGGCCGTCGCCGGCCCACGTCGAGCGGCTCTGCGACGCGTGTGCTTCATCTTCCCGCGGCGGCGACGCGCCGGGCCACCGCGACGCGGCGCGCGTCGCGGGGAGCTTGTTACGGCTCTACGCGCGCGAGTCCGACGCCGTGCCGCCGGACCTCAAGGCCGCCTTACTCCGCGCCGTCGTCGCGCTCTGCGCCTGCCCGAAGACGGCCGAGGTCGTCGCGAAGCTCGTCGTGGCCGCGCGCGTCGTCGAGTCGAAGGGCGTCGTGTTTTCCAAGCCGCCCCGGCTCCTCAAGCTGCCGCGGGCCATGCTCGCGCAGGAGGCGCCGCCGCCGCCGCCGCCGCCCGCGCCGCCGAGCCCCTACGGCGCCGCCTTCGGCCAGGTCGCGGCCGCCGCGGCGCCGCCCGCGGCGCCGGCGCCCGTGTCCGCGGCCGCGGCGCTCTCGCAGCCGGGCGCGGTCAACCCGCTGGTCCAGCAGCTCGACGAGTGCTGCGGCGAGGGCGAGGGCGTCGCCGACCGCGACCTCCGCGGCGCGGAGACGCGGCTCCGGACCTACGGCGCGACGGGCGCCGTGCTCGCGCTGCTGGCGGCCGTGGAGCCGCATCTCGACAGCGCCGCGCGCGTCGCCGCGGTCAAGTTCGCGGCGCGCGACGTGCTCCTGCGGTGTGCTGTGTGTGCGGAAGCAGCGCCACTCGCCTTCCGCTTCGACGACGAGCGCTGGCGCCTCGCGACGCGCGCGCTCGCGCTCTGCAGCGCCGTGCTCGGCCGCTACGCGCCGGGGTCCGCGGACTGGGCCGACGACTTCGACGGCGCGTCGCGGTCGCCGTCGCCGAGCGGCGGCTTCGCCGTGCTCTACGACGCGCTGGGCCCGGCCTGCGGCCTGCTGCGCGCCGTCGCGGGGTTGGCGGCGCGCGCGCGCGAGGCGGGCGGCGCGGACGACGGTCTCGCGGCCGACTTCGGCGGCGACGACGACGATTTGTGCCGCGACGACGCCGTGCCGCCGCCCCTGGGCGCCGTGCAGCCCGGCGGGCGCCGCGCGGACGTCGACGACCGGTCGAAGCTGCGCCACGCGCTCGACGTCCGCGCGGTGAAACGCGCGCGGAACGCGGCGCTCGCCGGCGCGGGCGCGGCGTGGTGGCGGTCGCGGTGCGAGGCCGCGGCGCTCGAGCTTTTAGGGGCCGTCGCGGAGCGGGAGGCGGCCTTCGGGGCCGCGTGCCGCGACGCCGCGGCGGGCCGGTCGCCGGCGTCGCGCGCGCTCGTCGACGCGGCCGCGGCGCCGCCGCGGACGCTCGGCGAACTGCTCCTGTCGTCCGCGGGCGCGACCCAGGCGGCGCCGCGGGAGCTGCCCAAGGCCTTCGAGGCCATGCAGACGTCGCCGGGCCCCGACGGCCTCCCGCACCCGTCCTTCGCGCTCGCGACGGCGGGCGAGAAGCCCGGCGGGCTCCGGGGGTTCCGCGACGACGATTTGGCGTCCGTCCGCTACTTTGGGTGCGAGCCCCAGGGCCTGCTGTCGGAGCTCGCGGCGCGCGTCGCGCCCCGGGGCGCGCGCCACGCCGAGGCGACGTCCTGCCGCGCCGTGTTCCTCCTGAGCCACGTCGCCGCGACGTCGACGGACGGCGCGGAAATCGACCGCCGGTTCGGGACGTCCCGACGAAACTTTGAAATGCTCGAGCTCGGCCACATCGGAGTCGATTCGGCTGATTTTTGGACGAATCGATGTTTCTCGTCGAGTTCTCGAAGCACGGCGAAAGAGTCTGGTCCAAACCGTTCGATGACGCGCACATTGAAGTCGGGTTGAAGATTCGAGTTCCGCGCAGGTCGACGGACGGCGCGCGGTTCCTGGCCGCGCTCGCGGCGTCGGAGCGCGGCCGCGAGCTCCGCGACGCCTTCGCCGCGCGCGTCGCCGCGCCCCTCGAGGGCGACGGCGACGACGACGACGCCTGGGGCGCGACGACGCCCGACGCCGACGGTTTAGCGGACCCGGCGCCGCCCGCGGCCGCCTCTTGGGCCGACGCGCGGTTCGGCGCGCTGGAGCTCCTCGCGGCGCCGGAGACGCGCGACCTCGCGGGCTGGCTCCTCAACGGCGGCGCGCTGTCCGCGGTCGTCGACCTGGCCCTGGCCTGCACGGCGCCGCTGGACAAGGGCCCGCGGCTCGCGGCGAGGGCCTGCGAGACGGGCGAGCGCGCGCTCGGGCTGTTGTTCGTCCTCGCGAAGCGGCGGGCGTCGCGGTCCGCGGTCGTCGACGCCGTGGCCGCCGGCGACGACGGGCGGGCCCTGACGACGCTCGTGGCGCGCGCCGCGGCGGCCGTCGCGGGCGACGCGGTCCCCGCGGCGTCCGCGCGGCTCGCGCGCGCGCTCTTGGACGTCGTCGCGGTGTGCGCGCACGCGTCCAAGCTCCCGGAGGGCGTCGCCGAGCGGAGCCGCGGCCGCTGCCGCGGCGCCGTCGACGCCTACTTCGGCGCGGCGCCGTCGATCCTCGGGGCGCCCTTCCGCGTGGCCGCGCCGGAACCGGCGCGCCTCGACGACGTCTTCGACCGGGATCCGTCCTTGCGGAAGCTCGCGCTCGCGCACGCGGCGAAGCCGACGTCGCGCCTCTACGCCGTGCTCGACGTCGTCGACGCCGCGGGCCTCGACGCGGCCGCGCGCAAGGCCCTGCCCGCGGACGTCGCGGATCGGCTCGGCGCCTGGGCGGCGCACGCGAACGACGCCGCGGCGGCGGAGCGCGCGGCGCTGGACCTCGCGGACGCGGCCCAGCGTCTGGGCGTCGTCGCCGCGGGCTTCGCCTACGAGGCCGCCGTCGTGGAGACGACGCGCGACGCCGACCTGGGCCCCGTGCCCTACCTGACGGCCGGCGGCGACCCCTTCGGCGACGCGGCGCCGGCCGGCCTGGACGCGCCGCGCCGCGCGCTCGTCGCGCTCGTCGAGGCGGCGGCGGGTGCGCTGCAAACGTGCCCGCGGGGCGACGGCGCCGCCGCGGAGCCCCTCGCGCGCGGCCTCGCCGACGGCCTCGCGAACTTGAGGAGTTTGGGCGAGGTCGCGGATCTCGACGCGTCGAAGCACGTCTCCGAGTTCGCCGCGCTCGTCGCCGCGGTCGGCGCGTCGCTGGAGCGCCGCCGCGACGCGACCACGGAGGTCTTCCGCGGCCACTGCTACGTCGCCCTGGCCCACGGCCTCGCGGCGCTCCGCCGGGGCGGCGCGGCGGGCGCCGTCTCCCACGGCACGTGGTCGCGCGTCTGCGTCGACGCCGCGGCGTCGTCGACGCCCTGGGCGCGCCTCGCCGCGTCGGCGGCGCTCGCCGAGGGCGCGCCCCAGTTCGCCCGCGGCGCCGCGGAGCGGTCCGACGGCCCGCCGGCGCTCTCCGCGGACGCCGTCGCGTCCGCGTTCGCGTCGTTGGAAGACGGCGGCCGCGACGCCGCGCTGGACGCGTCGACGCTGGAGACGGCCGCCGCCGCGCTGCTGCGTTTAGGCGCGGCGCGCCAGGACGTCGCGCTCCGGCTGGTGGATGGTGGTGTAGTAGAAGCCCTGGCGCGCTGCGGCGCGTTCCGCGTCGCGGCCGGCGCGGCCGGCGACGCGCGCGCGCGCGGCACCGCGCTGAGCCTCGAGCTCCTGCGCGCGCTCCTGGCGCGATTGCCGGAGCACGCGGCCCTCCGGGGCCAGGCCCGCGCCGTCGCGACCTTCGACGCGGCGTCGACGGCGTCGCTCGCGGCGCGATATCTCGACGCGCGGCGGCCGCCCGACGCGCTCGGTTCGCTGCGCGCGCGGTCCGCGCTCGTCGCCATCCTCGCCGCGCTGGCCAGGCCCACGGTCGACGAGGACTACGTCTCCGGCAAGCGGCGCACCGACGACGACGACTACTGCGCGGGCCTCTGCTGGCACCTCGTCGCGGCGACGGCGGCGGAGGCGCCCGCGCCGGGCCTGGGCGAGGCGGCGGCGGCGCGCCGCGCGCGCGCGCTGGACCGGAGCGAGCGGTCCTGGCGCGCGCCGGCGCCGGACCTGGCGGACCCGGCCTGGTGGGCCCGCGTCGCGCCGGCGACGGCGCGCGAGCGGCGCCAGGCGGACGCGCGGTCGCGGGCGCCGGGCGGCGGCGCGCGCGCGTGGTCGGCCTTCGACGACCGCAAGCTCGCGGCGGCGGCGACGCTCTGGGCGCGCTGCGTCGACTTCGCGCGCGTCGCGCTCCGGGCGCGGCCCGACGACCCGCGGGCCGACGCCGCCGCGCTCGCGCGCCACGTCGCGGCCGCCGCCGCGGTGCTCGACTCGGGCCTCGGCGCCGGCGGCCCGCTCGCGGCGGCCGCGGGCCTCGTCCTCGACGGCGCCCTCGCGGCGCTCAAGGACGCGCTCGCCGCGCCGGGCGCCAAGGCGAC